CCCTGTTTTTTTTTTTTTTTTTTTTTTTTTTCTGAAACCAAATCTTGCTACATTGTTAAGTGGCCCAGGCTGGCAATCCAAACTTGCAATCCTCCTGCCTCAGCCTCCCAGATTTCTGGGATTACAGGCCTGTGCCACAATGCCTGGCTCAATTCTGCTCACAGCGAAATCTTGCTAAGTTCCTACCTAAAATCTGGTTCCAGCACTGTGATCACTGTGTATCTAAACCCTTCCCAGACAGGACCTGTTCTGGGTCACGGGCTTCAGTTCCAGATCTGGAGGCAAACACTGAAGATCTGCCAGCCTGCCCTGACTCACAGCAGGCTCTGGGGCCACAGCTCTGTCCCAGGTTGGCTGTAGGACTTGGTACATCACCCTCACACCTCAGCTTCCTCATCTATGACATGGGACAAGAGCAGAACTCCCAGCCCCATAGGATCCGGTGAGTGGGGACAAGAGGACCCAGCAGGTATTCTGGAACCACAGTCACTTCAGGCCCATGCTCCCTGCCTTGGTGGCTCTTCCATCCCCTGAACCCCTCTCCCTGCCCCACACATGGAGGACACAGGTCCAGCGGGGCAGAAACAGGGCTGCAGTTCCCCGAACAGCCCCCTGTTCTCCAAGAACCGAGGATGATGGGGTAGAAATGAAATTGGCCTCCATGAATCCCTCTGCTTTCCGACTCACTTTTCTGTGTATTTATGGTAATCATCCCTGCAACAAAAACAGTGACTTCACTGTCTAAATAATAAGGTAATTTGCTACAGCTAATTACTCAAGGACTTCCTTAATCTCAATTAAAAGATCCGAGCAGATTCCTGTTCTCTCTCATCCCGGGGTTCCCAAAGATCCCCCTAATGTGTTCTGGATCCCAGCTTGGTGGAGAACCAAGAATGGTCCATGCCGGGCAGAACTGCTAAAATCCATCCAGGCAATGACGTGACGCAGTGATTTATTGTGACATGGAATGTGGGACATTTCCCCAGCTTTTGTGATTGTGGTAATGAAGCCATAAACCAAATAGCATGAAATGAGGCAAGGCCTTACAATTTAATCAGCTCGTAAACAGATCTACTGCATCAAGCAAATGACATTATTATCCATCCGAAGTAAATCATGCTAATCTCGGGAGATAAAATCAACATCGTTAATGGTCACATGTCATATTCATCAACACTAAACCATCCCCTCTGACAGATTAATCCTAACTACAGCTCCCAGGATGTATGGTAATAAGGCTTGTAGCACGCATTTCACTCCGCGCCGGGCTAACCAGCACTCTTAGGCTGCTATTACAAATAATTTTTTTATTGATTTACATATTTTAAAATGCATTTAAGGTGAGGCACCATTAAAAACCCTGTCACCCGCCCATATTTCTTCCCTACATTCCCAGACTTTATTAATAGGACTGGGAAGACAAATGCAGCAAGCCCTATAAATACTTTGTTTAGGGTGCTGTTAGGGGTAATTAAGATAGGGGCTGGGGCTAGGGAGGGGGGACAGGGACTGGTGAGGAGCAGAAGGGGTGATGGCAAAAGGGGGACCCGCTTGTGGCTCGGTGATAAAGGGGAATTGTGACTTTCTCCGCTTCCTGTTTGCTCCAGAGGGAACAGGAAGAACCGGAACAAATTCTCTCCAAGCCACCCCCCGCAACCAGGTCTCCCTTCTCTCACATCCCAGCTGGGCCTGGTGAGCTGGGCCTCAGAGTGATCATTGCTGCCTATGTTCTGGCCACTGTAGCCTGTGTGCCTCCTTAAAACGCCGATACTGATTACTTATCACGAGGCTGACCTAGGATGAATGCTCCCGGAAAAGTGTCCACTATTCAAAATGTCACTTCCCCTCCAGGGCCGTGCATTACAGCGACAGGCATGCTTTCAGAAGCCTCTGAGTGACAAGGACAGATGGGGTCCACCACGGCAGCCACCGTGCCTAGGCAGGAGGAAGGGGAGTAGAGAGCCCAAGTTATCTGTACCCTCCCGCCAGAGGCACAGAAGCATCCGCAGCTGGGACACTGACAAGAAATGTGATCTGGGGACTTTCAGGGCTGTATCGTTGGGTGGCAGGCAGACAGCAAGCCATCTCACCCCTTTCAGATGGGTGCATTTGAGGGGCTTTCTGTCTACCTGTGGAGCTGTGGAGGGTGGAAAAGAGGTGGTCATCCCCCTGGTGACCAACAGAGAGGAAGGGGGGCCCAGTGTTACCACCAATGACCCCCAGACCTCACAATGGTGTCCCCCGATTTAATCAGCACAGTGACTCTGAGACACCCCTGGTTCGTGCCCTTGTCAGCCTGGATAGAAATCCATGAAGCAGGTGGATTTTTGAGAAAACTGTACCTGAATCAAGCTATTGAGCTCAGATATGCCACCTCTCTGGATACAGTGAAAAGGCCACCATAGCAAATGGGGACAACATCCTACTAAGCTCTAAGAATCTCTAAAGATTGTGTCCCACATTTTCCTTGCTCCTTACTAAGGGCCCTGGAGGTGGCCGCCTTGCCTGAGGGTTGAGACAAGTCTTTTCTTGAGCTCCTTGGTTTGACTTAGAATGGTGCAGGACAGGAGTTGCCCAGCTTTAGCATGACTCAGAATATTCTGGGAGCTGTGTTAAAACACAGACTGTTAAAAAATAGCTGGTCTAGGGTAACGACAGAGGGTTTGCATTTCTAGAAGGTTCCCAGAGGATACTGATGTAGCAGGGCCCAGAGCTCCACTTTGAGAATCAGGGTTTGGAGGGTAGGAAGATCTAAGCCAGGGAAAGCTACGAAGGAGGCACAGTTAGAAGCCCAGCTGGTCACAACAGGAAGCTGAGGGCCAAACAGGAAGTGAGGTCAGGAGTGACTTCTACAGACTGTGGCTTTTCCTCTTCTGTGTTTTTGGGGCTCTCAATGCAAGTGAGCAAATAAACCGGTCAAGGTCAGTCGAGGTCAAGGTCAGAAAACCCAAATTCTGTCCTACCTCTGACCTGCTTCAGTTACCCTGCTGTCTGTCCCTCTCCTCCCTGAGGACTCTGGCAGAGAAGAACCCCGCTTGACTGGGTGGAAGAGAGGCTGAGAAGAAACTAGCCAGGAGTTGTTAAAAATTAGTGGTAGTTCAAAACTATCTCACCATGAAACCCCAGGGATTTTTAAGTGTGCTTTTATTGCAAACCAAGTGTGGTGGCACATACCTGTAATTCCAGCCACTAGAGAGGCTGAGGCGGGAGGATGGCTGGAAATTGTAAATTCAAGACCAACCCGAGAAACAGCAAGATCCTATTGCCAAAGAAAAGGTACTGTTTTTGAAAAAGGATCTCAGCCTCTGGATTAGCCACAACATACCTGCCCAGGGGCATGTTAATGTCAACATCATTCATTCATTTATAATTCATTATAAATTCATTATATTAATTCATATAAATTCATTATATTCATGTGCTGGAATAGATCGCCAACTATTCCCTTAGGAAAAATTCTTATCCTGCACATTCTGGCCTGGCCTGGAGCCTTCAAGATAATAGGGTGACCAGGTATTTGGACAAGTCTTGATTACAGTTCTTCATTTTTATATAAGGCAACCAACCTCACAGTCCCCTAGGTTGACTTAAAATGTTGTTCTAAAAGTTATTATAAAATAAAGTACTTACTGTAAAAACATTACAGGAATTACAAACTTAGAAACAAAACCTGCTGTCTCATTGCCACCTCAAGATAACCACTTCTAGACCTCTGATCTGCACTGACTGGATAATGCCTCCCTCTCTTGTGCAGTGATATTAATCTACCTCATTCTTCTTTAACAAAAGAGCATTGTTTCCTTGACCAACTTTTTTTTAAATATA